AAGTTGCTTGAAACAAAATCAGGGTAGAAGATTGGGATGTTGCTTGTTCTTTATGTTCATTAGCATCTTTTGAAAGAAAGAAGGCATAATCAGGCAATTATCTGGATGTCGTAGTTTGAAAGAAGCCCTGTCCTGAGGGTGGAACTGACCAGAAATTTTCTCAGTTCTTTGTCCGGGCTTTGATTCCTGTTATTGTAGCCAGAGTCTGTACAGGTGCTGGCAGAATTCTTTACTGTCAGCTGCCACTGGGCAGTAACTGGACACACCCTAATTTTAGTTCTTTTGTTTTGCCAACCTCTCTGGCTAGGTAATAGCAATTGTTTTTCTTGAAGTTTTAAGCTTTTGCTAGAGCCAGCCAAGACCAAAGGAGAACTGTGTTAGGAATGAGCACACAGACAATTATAGGAAAGGTGGCTTAGATTTGGGGAGAGGCACTAGGTGTGAAGTTGTAGGACCATAGAGGTAGACAGCTAGAAGGGACAAAAGTCATTTCTCATACTACAGAACTGAAGTCCACAGGGATTTGAGCCAGTTTAAATCATTGTCCTAAGACTCCAAATCTAGTTACATTACACCACACTGCTTCCCAAGTCCTTAGGATAGATGAGGTTCCATTTAGATAGAGCCTTTGCCATAGCTTTAACCTTTAAAAACAGTCGATTTGTTATCCTTTTGGCAATTCTCATCGATTTCCTTTTCGAGACCTCTCTCTCATCCAAGTTGTTTCTTGGGTTTTTCCTTTTTTACCTCTAACATTGATTCACTCCACATTCTAGCCTTCTAGATCTCTGCTTAAGTTAAACATTTTCTTTACTTCTCCTGAATCATGTCAGACTACCATCTTGTTTCCCAGGTGAATACTTGTTTCACAGTTGAATATTTGTTCTTTACAGGATTCATTTCAATTCAGTTTCTGAGTAATGTGGACTAGTTGACTAATTTCTTTATTAAAATGTGTTAATTTTCAGCCATTATTAATTTTACACTATTGACCAGAACCTTTAATTGGCTAGAGTTTGTTTTAAATGTCCTACTTTTTAGAATAATGCAACAAGACAAAAGAAACAGTTATCAGGAATTTATTCTGGAGTAAAAATACGTATGCCATAACTTCCTAGCTATGTAACCAAGGATCAATAGAGATTCATCCTAATATATTTTACCTTATGTTTTTAAGGTGCTTTGCAAATAAAAATTGGTGTTTTGAATCATTAACTTGAGGCATTCTAAGATTCAGAATTCTCAAAGAAATATATAGCTGTGTTCATTACATTATACTAAGGAAAGTAAAGAGGTGAGTTAATTTGTTTTTCAACAAAGAAAGAAACAAGTTTTCCTATTTGATTCCCAGTTAATCCTCGAAAAATCAGTCAAGACTCCCCGTTCATCTTGAGTTTATGGATAGACAGACGTACCACATATTGTTATGGTTTCAGTTTTTCCTTTTTTATGCATATATTATATTTGTGCTAGGGACAACAATTAGCCTTAAGGAAGTAATTTTAAATGTCATCTAGTCTAAGGGGCATTGAGGTTGTTTCATCAGAGAGTTCCACAAACAGAAGTACATCGGTGTGATATGTGGATTTTTTATTAATAAGTGATGAAATGTGTTAACCATTAGCTTTTTAGAAATATGTACTGGTATATGTTTAATTCCAACAAAGTCCAGAAAATCATTTTAATTAACTTTATGCAGAAATGGACAGTTGTAAGCCAAGTTCCAGTTACTGATGAGTTTTGGTCAAGTTAGTGATAACCCTGTTATTTAATAGACTGAATTATTTTTCAGAACCATGGAATGTGTACAGTTGGGACAAATGTTAATTCTAACTTCAAATTTATATCAATGGTAGTGACTTTCAGCTTTTGCTTTCAGTAGTTCCCTTAAGTAATAAAGGTATTTTGCCATAGTTAAAGTAACCAAGACATTGCCCCAGAGCCTGGCTGAATAGCCAGAAATTTTAGCTATTTAAAGCTCTTCTGTTAATAATGTAAGGTGTTTTTTTGTTTCTTTTCATTTTTATTATAAATCTCAGGCAAGTAACATTGCATGTTGGATGCCTCAGATGCCCTCTCATTTTACAGAAAAGAAATCTTTATTAGTGTCCATTGCTTGTGCTTCCTTAAAACTTAAAAAAATATATTCCTTCTCCCTCCAGCAAAATCTTTCTTTTAGCTTGATAAATAGTATATCTTATTTTCTTTCCTTAATTGTACCCTTATTGAAGGCAGAAACTATGTCTTAATTCTCCTTCATAGTCTGGTATGATATATTCAAGATAGATGCTTAGTATTGATTAACTAAATTTCTTTTTTTATTTATATCTAATAGAGGTGGTTGAATGTTGGCTAGACATGTGTTTTTTTCCCCCTAAAGCTGGAGAGAAACCACTTGGGAAATACTTGGCATTGAGTAAACTACACTTGAGAAAAACTATGAAACAATAGGTTAGAGATTCTCGAGAGTTTATCTAGCTGAAAGGTCACTGTCATTAGTAAAGAAGTAGGGTGGCATCACTGTACCAAGAAGTACTGAGTTATTACACTGGTAGAGTCACTTAGGAAGTGCATTTAGAGCTGGAACAGTAATTTATGAGAATGCTTAACACTTGGGCATGCTTACTGTTTAAACAGGTTCTAATTAGATAGGTTGTTGAGAATTGTTTATGTAACCATAGCTGTTCAAGGAAGTTTTTTAGTATTAAAATGTTGGGTACTTTTGTTGGAATTGTTACAAGATTATATGCAAACTCTTACATATACAAGACCTGTAAGTTGGGATTCTATAACAGAGTTTCCAATTACCACCATTGCTTTTGCTGCTACCCCTTCCCTAGAGTACTGTTTCTGCTCTTGGTTCTGCAGTTACAAGTGCCTTAGTTCATTTCTGAAATGAGACTTCATACCAACTTGAAACCAGCAGCTCTATCATCTGGTGCCAAAATTTAATGTGCCCTTTCCGTATTTGTAATTATTATTTCATGCCTACTTTAATTAGTCATGACCTTTATTTTTGCAAAAGTGAAGCATCTGTCCACTCTTAGTAGGCATCTATGTTCTTTAGACTACTTTAACACCTCTTCCGGAACAGCTGTAGTTCTGTGGTTTATTGAAGGGGATGACATAGATTACATAGCTGTATTATAGATGCTTGTGTGGCAGCTCTCCAGTTTACCCCTTTATTTTCTAAGTAACATTCTTGACTTTACTAAAATTAAGGTCAGGGTTAAGGAGCCAGAAGAAGATCCTCTCCTTTTATCTCTTTCATCTGCCATCGAAGTTCTGCTTTGTGCAGTGGGGAAGGAGAGAACTTTGTAAGTTAGCTGCGTCCCTCCTTTTAGCTGAGGTTAACTGTCACTTGATAAATACAAAAACTGTATATTGCCCACCCCTCCTAAAGAGGGGTGGAGCCTGCTTCTGGCCAGAAACATCTAAATCCTTTTGACTTTCTCTGTAATAAACTTCTTGATACTAAAAAAAAACCAAACAAACCTGTATATTACCCAATCTCTTAACAACTTAAGGGTCCTTTAGACTAACTTCTTTATGTTCATATGCATATACACACAAATAATGTATAATTTAGAAGTTGTGTCAGTTGTCACTAAGGCTGATTCATTAACAAATTCCTGAAACCAATTTCATTTTAATGCTATTCAGTTTTGTTAAGCTTGTCCCTTCCCATAAATGGTGACTACTGGACTTTTGAAAAGAATATTCTGTGGCCAGCTTTGTAACACAAAGTAGGATGATGTACATCCTGCTTAATGATATAAATCAATCAGTAGCTGTTTATTAAATACCTACTATGTGTCAGTAGTGGGGAAAACCTAAATGAAGCATAGTTCCTTATGAATAAAGTCCTTCAATAAGGCCAAGGGATATGCAAAATGACCATCCTTATCTGTGGTCCTCAGTTGCCTTAAATATGTGAAGGTTATAAAGATATATCTCTTAATAGATGTTTTATATATTAGTTTTGGCCATCTTATCAGGAAAGCTGATAATATCCTGTATTTATACATGATTAGTCACATTCTTCTTAAAGTTAATGTGGTCTAGTAAAATTTTAAAGATTGAAAGCACACACACACACTCACACACTAGCTATAATAGACTTTGGAAAAGGAAGAAGTGATTTGCATCACCTCCTTTTAAAACCAAAATATTACAGTGTTGTTGTTGTTGTTGGTGGTGGTGGTGGTGGTGGTGGTGGTGGTGGTGGTTGGTATTCAGTCGCTTTAGTCATGTCCAACTCTGCGTGACCACGCTTGGAGTTTTCTTGGCAGAGGTACTGGAGGGTTTGTCATTTCCTTCTTCAGCTCATTTTACAGCCGAGGAAACTGAGGCAAACAGAGTTAAGTGACTTGCCCAGGGTCACACAGCTGTTAGATGTCTGAGGTCTTCCCTGACTTCAGGCCTGTTGCTCTATCCACTGCACTACATAGATGCAGCAGTTGTCTCACAGAAAAGTGGTCATTGCTACAATTTCACTATCATATGTGGACATTGGAAGTATTTTCATTTGCTCTCCTCTGCTACAGAGAATTTGATGCTAAAGTGTTCTTAAGTTGTACTCCAGAGAGAACTGACACGAATTGTCGAAGTCAGGAAAAGATTTCTGAAATTGAAAATTTCTTAGAGTTTTGTTTTTGTTTTTTCAAACACCCAAATACTTTAAACATTTTGATAAATAAACTTTTGAAGAATCTGTCTCACACCTAGGGGATTAAAACCTGAATTTTAATTTTTACAATTTTCATTTCTATTTTAGAGTAAGAAAGCAAATTATAGTTTCTTAGCTATAAACTTTGATGCTTTTTTAAATAAAATATGTAATTATTAAGCCTGTTCAAAGTTTATTATGTATTCATTTTGTCCTTCTATCTCGGACACCTAGCTTGAGGGCCTTACTTTTGGTAGGTGCTTAATAGATGTTTATTGAGTTGAATAGAGAATTAAAATGCTACATTAAACCTCTTTTGTGTTTTCTTTAGACTCCCATTCCAAAGAGTATACTTATTCCAGTGATTCCTATCACCAAATCAACAGGGTCAAGGTTCCGGAATAGTGTGGAAGGGTTGAACCAGGAAATTGAAATAATAATTAAAGAAACTGGAGAAAAGGAAGAGCAGCTTATAGTGAGTATTCTGTTGTCTAAAATCTTAACACATTTTATTTACACAATTGATTCGGTATTTCCCAGTACTTAAAAAACAGTGCCTTCTACAGAGTGGGTATGTAATACATGTTTAAATTGAATTATATAGAAAGCCTCATCGTTCATATTTTCCCCCAGATGATTTATTATCCATAATTGGAAAATTAAAAAAGGGAAAGTAAGCTCATTTTTGCCTTTGTCTTTTATAGCAAAAAGATTTTAGGCCTCTTTTAAGTTTAACACAGTTTGTTTTTTGTTGTTTTTTGTTTTGTTTTGTTTTATTTCTTCACACTCTACCAAGTTAGCTTTTTTGGGGAGAGGGGATGTCTGAGTTTTTGTGTAGAAATTATTTAAATTGTTACTCATATCTAGTTATTAGTTTTGAGAAGGGCTATTTATGTACCTGCCCATTTCTCTGGCAAATTTTCAGTTTTTTGACCTAGTATTTGACAGTTGAAATTTTACATATTAAGAACCTTCATATTCATTAGTATTTGGTTATCAGTTAAGGGTTTTAGGCTGTGGTAGTTCTTGGTTCAGAGTGACCTGATCAGACTAGAGATCTTTTTTTTTTTTTTTTTGCTGTTGAACCATGCCACCATGTGAGGCACAGTGGACAGAAAACCAGACTTAACGCCAGGAAACCTGTGTTCTAGTCATACCTGTGACCCTGGCTGTGTGTGTGCCGTGGGCCAGGCCATTAGCTAAATTCCAAGCACTCTTGGCAACTCTCTCAGACTTTTTAATTTGCAGAGAAGTGCTGACCTCCATTGGTTTCCTTCTCTAAGAACACATACACATAAAATTCAATCTGGGTGTTGCTCATTTTCAACTCATTGTTTCAGACTGTGTTCATCTAAATCTCTTTAGTTCTTTGACAAGGAGAAGGGAAGGAAAGAACCAAGGGTCATACACTTAGCCCAGCACAGTTATCATTCTGCGGAGTTCCTGAGCTCTTGAGATAGAGCACCCACTGTTTCGACTTTACTGGGGGGAGGTGGCGACTTCTGACTTGGTCTAACAAGGAATCTTGGCCTCTGATTTTGCAAATAAGAAATAACATTCTTTTCCATTCAGAAGGCAGGTAAAATCCCACCTTCTTCCATCAGCCATGCTATATAAACAGTCACATCTGGTTTATTTCTCTCTGCGGCTTCCTTCTGGACTCACTTAGGGAGAGGGAGGGCCAACATTGATTACTTCTGAAAGGTCTCTTCAGTACTGGCCACAGATGGCTTCAGTACTCCTCATTTGTCTTCTCTGGAAAGAGTGAGGTCTTCCCACTCTTCCCCTTCCCTCTGACCAGACCTAAAAAGATGAAGGGTGTCTTGGGGAAGGAAAGCCAAAGGATCATCAGGTAAAACGCTACTGGGACCCTTTGTCCCCTTGATCCTGAACCCACGTCACGTCCTTATTTCTCTATACTGCTATAAAGAAGCAAATTTTTGGTTTGTGACTTTTTTCCCTTTAATTAGGCCTGTTGAACACAAAGGGAAGTAATAGATGTGAGTTTTACAACTTAGGTGGTGGGCAAAGGGAGTAGTTTAAAAACCCTTGGTGTGTGCTTTGAGAAGGTTGACAATGGACAGTTACAAATCAACAATTAAGTGGAGAATTTGTTTTTTATTTACAACAGCCACAAGATATTCCAGATGGTCATCGTGCACCTCCTCCCTTGGTACAGCGCAGTAGTAGTACGCGCAGTATTGATACCCAAACACCTGGTGGAGCAGACAGGGGAAGTAACAATAGCAGCCGCTCCCAATCTGTGTCCCCCACTTCATTCCTTACCATCTCAAATGAAGGTAGTGAAGAGAGCCCTTGTTCTGCTGATGACCTTCTTGTTGATCCCAGAGATAAAGGTATAGCCCTGAGGAAATAATGCTATTATTAGTTTATCCAACTCTTACAGTCTAAATCCTAATTGCTAATCATATTAGTAAGAGTTTGCACTGGACTCATTTTCTAGCATGTATTTAAGAGCATTAAGGTGTTTGAATTAAGATATTCATTATTCATATAGAGAATTGAAAAGGATTTGGTTATACTTTTATTTCTGGGTTTTCCTTTTATCTTTGCATAATGATAATTTATATTTGTATAGCCCTTTACAGTTACATTATGTTCTCATAGCCACTTGATTGTCTCAACAGTGCTCTAAAGGCTGAGCAGATGGTGTTGACCCCATTTTACAGATGAGGAGCTAGAGTAAAACGGTTAAATGATTTGCCTGCTAACTAAGGTTACACTGACAGTAAATGAGAGAGCCATCCTTAAGTTAGGTATTGGTGATATAAACTATGAACTTACTGGTGAGGTGTTAGGAGCATGACCTCTTGGTTTTGAATGTTTTGTTATGTACAGGTCATTTGTCTCCTTCTGTACATCATAGATCAATAAAGTATCTTAGGAGGTCTTTAGAGGGATAAATCTGATAATCAGATCCAGAATTCATGGTAATTCTAAGAGGAATAGTTAGAGTTATCTCTACAAAGATGATAGTAAAGCCAATCATGGAGACAGGATGGGGAGAAGAACTGGTTTTAAATTGGAGGTGTCAGATACCTGGCCCACAACATTCACAAGGGCAGCCCAAACCAGATGAAATGTTTGGAAAATATTTAACAAAATAAATAAAAATATAATAAAATATAGGTAATATTGCACTTCGAAACTAAACCAATATGTAGCCCTTGGGGGTTCTCATAAGGATTAGTGGCCCTCATTTCTATTGATATTTGACACCACTGTTTTAAACTATCTAAAAGAATAAAATGTTTATTACTTTTTAGAAGTGACCATTTAACCTAAGCCGTAGATGTACAAATTACAAAGGATTTGCGCTTCTCAAGAAGTTGTTGGCTTACTTTCATGTACTGTATGTACATGCTTGAAAGTAACTCTTCCTCTTCTAAAACATCCTTTGTCAGTATTGACCTTTGTCTCCAGTTAGAATTTCTAAGCTTTCGCATTATGTACAGAAGTCCAGGCTAAGAGATGAACAAGCACATTTGCTTCCTGTACATGGGGGCTCCTCTGGATCTTGGGGGCCGATTTGGGAAGAACGCTGGATTTGGAGCCAGACAGACTAGGTCTGATACTTAACCCCTGTGAGCAAGTCAGTTAACCTTCATGAGCATCAGTATCCTCATCTATAAAATGAGAGGGGTGGCCACCATGATTTCTAAGGTCCCTTCAAGCTCCAAAGTGGTGACACTGCCATTTTGCATGATACTAGATACCATAGGGGTCACATAATATCTACAGAAGAAATGAAACGCATTTTTTTCCCTCAGAGAGTTTACAGTCTAGCTGCGAAAATGAGACGTACGAACGAGAACTTGTTTTAGAACACTTAAGTGACCTCTAACTTCGTTGTTTCAGTCCTTTAAGGATCCATGATTTAATGGGTATGCTGTGAGTATGCCTTCCACCAGTGCAGCTTGTGAGCCCTCTATGAATTAGTAGAGGATATTCATGAGCTGTTGTGAGTACCTTTGAGTTAGAGGGAATGCAGAGATGGGAATAAGCAAATTATTGACATAGAGCTTGTCTGGAGCGGTGGCTACAAAATGGGTGAGTAGAGAAATGAGGTTGGTGGGATACAAGGTGGACATTTTGGTGGAGGGCTTTGAAAGGTAGGCTGAGGAGTTAATAGTAAGTACTGGAGGCAGGAGCCACTATAGATAATTGAATAGAGTAATAATTTAAAGGCGGGGGGGAAGCTTAGATGAGATAGAAATAGGGAGGCCCGCTAAGAGGGTATCATAGCATTATAGATAAAGTCCTGTGATAATTGGAAATAAAAAGTAAGAAATCTTTTAGAGGTAGATTTGACAGGGCTTTATTTTCATTTGGTAATAGAACAGGTCAGAAGAATGAAATAAATTTTGAAAGTTATAAATTGGACCTACTTATTAAAAAGTACTAAGCATTATTGTTGTGGCAAAGTGGGTAGCTAGATGGCACAATGGATAAAACGCTGGGCCTGGAGTCAGGAAGACCTGAGTTCGCCTCAGTTTCCTCATCTGTAAAAATGAGTTGAAGGAAATAGTAAACCACTCCAGTATCTTTGCTAAGAAAACCCCAAATGGGGTCACAAAAAGTCAGACATGAATGAAACAACTGAACAGCAAGAAAACATTATTGATTCATGGTCATAGTAGAAGATGGTGGGCTTAGTTTTAAAAAGTTTTGGGTACTAGAGAGCAACATCAAAGTAGCAATATATTGGTTTTCCTATAAAATGGAACTGTGATTTAAAAAGAAAGGACTGTACATTTAAAGTAAGTATGAAGTTAGGGTAGGAGGTAGAGATTTAATGGTTGTATACAGCAAAGACTGTATGTGAACTCAGGAAATGAGCATAAAGATAGATGTGTAAGTGGTCCAGAATTAAGAGAGATGAATGGTAAATAAGACAGAACAATTGGGACGTTTTCAGGACCAAGAGAACAACCTGAAAGCTAAGAAAACCAGAAGACAGACTTTGAGAAGCCAAAATGAGAGTTTCTTGGATTCTCTACTGAATTTACTACTATTTGATCCCTGACTCTTCTCCTTCAAATATAATGTAACTCAGGAATACTTCCTAATTTAGAGTCTAAAATAGTCATAGGGACTCTTACGTTTTAAGACTATCACACTGTATTTACAGATAAGGTCTTAGGATTTCAGAGCTAGAAGAAACTTTAAAATTCTATGGCCCTCCCCTCTTATCTTACAGATGAGATTGCAAGTCTGACTTTCAGAGTTCAGCTCTTGACTCTACAACCTCTGTGACCTTGGGCAAGTCAGTCTCTCTCTGACTAGCTGTCACTCATCCATGCAATGAGAAACTCAGTGATTCCTTCCCTCCCTTCCAACTCCAAATCCTAGGATCTCTGAGCTGAAACTGAGCAATAAACAGTAGAGACTGAAAAGTGATTTGTCCAAGGTCATAGAAGTAGTAAATTGCAAAGCCAGAATTAAAACACGATTTTCTGACTCCAAATCCAGTGTTCTTTTGACTACATCACATTTCCCTTTATAAAGGATTTACACTGTTGAAAGTAGATCCTTGAAAGAGGAATTAAGGATAGGAAGATGGGAAATGACTTAAGTTTTGCCATAGAAAACTGATTTGGTAAAGGGATTTCCTACATTTGTTAGGGTTTTATCAAATTAGCATGCTGTGAGTTCCTTGTTTTAAATATTTTATATTTTGTATGTTTCTTTATATTTTAGTAAGTTTTCCACTATTTTGCTCTTTTCAGAAAATGGGAACAACTCTCCTCTGCCCAAATATGCCACCTCACCAAAACCTAACAACAGCTATATGTTTAAACGGGAACCTCCTGAAGGCTGTGAAAGGGTGAAAGTCTTTGAGGAATGCTCGTAAGTATTTGATAACAATATAGGAATACTGTTTTGAATTGACTCAATTAGTCTGTCTTTTAATTTTTTTCTTGTGGTATGAAAAAATAATATTTCATTTGAGAGAAATGATTATTAGTAGCCAATGATTTGGGGAGATCCAGAGTTCTCCCCTTTTCCTAAAGTACTTATGATTTTTATAAAGTTCAGTTTCTTGAAGGACATTGCTGATGATGAGACTGGACTAACTTTCTTGTTCAAGACCCCACCTGGGGGGCAGCTAGGTGGCACAGTGGATAGAGCACCAGCCCTGGATTCAGGAGGACCTGAGTTCAAATCCAGCCTCAGACACATAACACTTACTAGCTGTGTGACCCTGGGCAAGTCACTTAACCCCAATGCCTAACCAAAAGAAAAAGACCCACCTGCATGTGTTCTGCTCAGGCTTGAGTGGGGCATAAATTTTTTGAATAGAATTGCCTAAGGTTGGGGTGGTCTAGGTATAGAAATAGTCTCTCTGTCCAAGGGTGCACATGATGTCACTCTCAGCCCCTTATGAAACACCTATTCTTTGAAGGGTATATAAACCGTGAGCCTGCCACGGATGGTCTTTGGTCTAAGAGAGAGGGCCAGATGACCATCCTTTTATTAATAAACATACTGGTCTTATTAACAAAATTATTAAATTACCCAGACCCAGAAACTATGTCTCTCGAACCTGTTTAATTGTTACACATTCTTTTCCAAAGTATAAAATTTTTACTAAGTATTTTTTCCTCTTATGGAATCCATTGAATTATCTTTAATTCAGTGAGATGCTAAATAAAAACAATTTTCTGTGCTTTTAAAAATAAATGTAATGATTTTGTTTGACACAGACTTAAAAAGTACATTCCCCCCCAAAAAAGAGCTAGCTCATCAGTTGTTATCAGAAGGGAGGGATGTAGCTTTTAATTTTAATATTGCGATTAAGAATTACATTTTATTTATCAGAATTTTGTTGCCTTTTGACTTTGTGTTCTTTGTTTCCTATTACTTCATACAAATATTTGCATATTTCTCTGAATTAAGTATGACTTATGGGTACAGTAATATTCCATTACGTTCACATACCTTAATTTCTTCAAATATTACCATTGTTAGGCAGACTTTGTTTTTAGTTAGTTTTCTAATAACAAACAATACTACTCAGATCTTTTTTTACTTTACTTATAAGTCTCTTCTTATTGTCATTAACTTCCATAGGATATAGCCCTAGTAGTAGAATCCCTTTGTCTGAGGGTATAAACAATTTAATTTTTTTTCATAATTCTAAATTATTTTCCAGAATTTTAAAATCAATTAGTAGTTCTAACAGTAATGAATGTCTTCTCGCAGCACCTTGAATAATGATTCTTCTTGTCTTTTAGCATCTTTGCTAATTTGCTGGGTGTTAAGTGTTACGTTGGGGTTGTTTCAATTTCCATTCTTCTGATTATTAGTGATTCTGAATTTTTATTTTTCAGCTTATTGTTGTTTCTTTTTCTTCTTTAAAAGACTGCTTATCGGGGCAGCCAGGTGGCACAGTGGATAGAGTGCCAGTCTTGGAGTCAGGAGGAGCTGAGTTCAAATTCGACCTCAGACACTTGACACTTACTAGCTCTGTGACCCTGGGCCAAGTCACTTAACCCCATTGCCTGCCAAACAAAATCCTTGGGGCTGCTAAGAGGCGAAGTGGATAGAACACTGGCCCTGAAGTCAAGAGGACCTGAGTTCAAATTCGGTCTCAGACTAGTGACTTCACACTTACTAGCTATGTGACCCTGGGCAAGTCGCTTAACCCCAATTGCCTCGCCAAAAAAAAAGAAAACACTTTATCGTTTGACCATTTTTCTTTTGGGGAATGTAAATTCTTAGTTTTACAGTTTTGTCTTAGGTCTTAGATTTTGGAGGTAAGTCAGGCATTTTTCAGAGATATTTTATGCAAAGTTTTTTTTTAATGCCATCTGTGTCTTCTGATTCTAGTTTTATTGACTTTATCTTGACAAAATCTTTTAAATTTTGTACAGTTTCCTCTGTTGTGGTGGTGTAACACCCAAGATGCTTTACTCTTTAGTGTTCTTTACTCTTTAGTGTTTTTACTCTTCAGTGTTCTTAACAGTTCTTGTCATATAAAGAGTCCCTTTCTTAGTAGCATTTGCTCTTGAGTGTTTGAAATGCTTGATTGTTGTAGACATTTTTTCCTAGGTCTTACTTATCACCTTTAAGATATACTTTATTGATGCCTTTTTAAAAGGGCAATTTTACACCATTCGTTTCTGTATCTCTCTTCTCTCTGCTCCTCTGCTATTAAACCCTTCCTCGTAACAGAAAAAAGTTAACAAAAACTGGCTGAGGTCTGATAGCTTATTTATACCAAACCCATAATCCTACAGTTTCCAGCTGGCAAAGAAGGAAATAGCAAAAATATCCAATATTGGCTAGTTCTGATTAGTCCTGCTTTATGGTATTGTTTGAGATCTGTTAGTACCAAGCAGCCTTCCTTCCCACTTCTTTTTTACTCTATATCCCTTGATGTTTTTGATATTTTATTTCTCCAAGTGAATTTTGTTGTTAATTTATCCTTTGGTAATAGTCATTTAGATAAATATCTTAATTTTTGCTGTTTTAGTCCAACCTAGTAATTGAATCTCTCATTTTTTAGGTATTTAATTTCTGCAAAAATTGTTTTATGATTAGTATTCATATAAAAATCTGTATGTTGGAGAAGATTAATTCTGAAATATTTAATCCATTTGGTTGTGACCTTCAGTGGGTTTTCTCTTCCTAGATTTCACCATACAGAAATCTACAGAAAGACTAATTAGTCATCTTGGTGGTGGTTTTTATTTTTTTTCTTTTTAATCCAGCTGTCTCCGTTGATTTTGCTCATTGATTCCTTAGGACAAAGGATTCTTAACCTGGTGTTTGTTAACTTGTTGTTTTAAAATGTTTTTATAATTGCATTTCCGTATAGTTGGTTTCTTTTGTAGTCCTATTTTATTTATTTAAAGACATTATTCTGGGAAGGAGGGGTGGGTGGGGAGCATAAACTTCGAAATGTTGCCGAAGGGTTCCATGAAACAAAAAGGTTAAAAACGCCTTCTCTTGGGGGTCCTAAAGTAAACCGACTTATTAACAATAAATAGTCATTTTATTTGCTCTTCGACTAAACCCATTCTCCTAATTTTCTTATATTGTTGCAATTGGCATTGTTGGTCCTTTTATTCTTCAGCTGTTTTCATTTGTGTTCAAGTCTTCATGACCACATTTGAGATTTTCTTGGCAAAGATACTGGAGTGATTTGCCTCTTCCTTCTCTAGCTTATTTTACAGTTGAGGAAACTGAGACAAACAGAGTGAAATGATTTGCCCAGGGCCACACAGCTAGTGAGTGTCTGAGGCCAGATTTGAACTTAGGTCTTCCTGACTCCTGGTCTGGTGCTCTGTCTGTTGCCCCAGAGTAGCTGCCACTACCTATAGACCTATATGTTTATCTTTTTTTTTAATTAAAAAAAATTTGTTTAGAGATTACCAATTTGTTTTTCTAGGTTTTTTAGTTCTATATACCATTCATTGGTCTTCTCTTTCTCCCTTTTGTCAGGAAATATTTAGTGATACAAATTTTCTTCAAAATACTAATTTAGGTATAGCATCCACATTCTTACAGGAGAAGTTCAGGGAGTTACAGGAAGAAATAGACAGCAAAACTATACTAGTGGGGGACCTGCACCTCCCCCTCTCGGCACTAGATAAGTCTAACCACAAAGTAAACAAGAAAGAAGTTAAGGAGGTGAATAGAACATTAGAAAAGTTAGGTATGATAGACCTCTGGAGAAACCTGAATGGGGATAGAGAGGAATATGCTTTTTTCTCTTCAGTACATGGCACATACACAAAAATTGACCATGTACTAGGGCATAAAAACTTCACAATCCAATGCAGAAAGGCAGAAATACTAAAGCATCCTTTTCAGATCATGATGCAATAAAAATTATATGTAATAAAGGGCCATGGAAAGATAGACTACAAAATAATTGGAAACTAAATAATCTAATCCTAAAAAATGATTGGGCCAAACAACAAATCATAGAAACAATCAATAATTTCATTCAAGAGAATGACAATAATGAGACAACATACCAAAACCTATGGGATGCAGCGAAAGCAGTTCTTAGGGGAAATTTTCTATCTCTAAATGCTTACATAAACAAAATAGAAAAAGAGGAGATTAATGAATTGGGCATACAACTAAAAAAACTAGAAAAAGAACAAATTAAAAATCCTCAACTAAACACTAAATTAGAAATATTGAAAACCAAAGGAAAAATTAATAAAATTGAAATTAAGAAAACTATTGCACTAATAAATAAAACTAAGAGCTGGTTTTATGAAAAAATCAATAAAATAGATAAGCCTTTGGTTAATTTAATCAAAATACTAATTTAAATAAATCTCACAAATTTTCACATATCTTAATGAGATTTTCTTTAACATTTTTGTTTCATATTCTTTGATCTATTCATTTGTAATTGCATTAACCTTCATTTTAAGTGTTCATATTTTTCTTACTACAGCTTTATTGTGTTATGTTCTGAAAAACATATAATTGATATTTATGCCTTCCAGCATTTGTCCACGAGGTCTTGGTACTGTCATGTGGTCAGTTTTTGTAAATGTGATGGACAGTATTGAAAAATCATTAGGCTTCCCATTGGGTAATCCCCCAAGGTCTAACCACAACATGCTTTCTAGTCTGCTGTTCAGAGCCTCAGGTCTTGAAGTCACCATCAGGCCTTGTAGTGTATGGGCCTTCTCTCTTTCTCTCTCTTTTTTTGGGGGGTAAGGGGGGCAATTGGGGTTAAGTGACTTGCCCAGGGTCACACAGTTAGTAAGTGGCAGATATTTGGTCTGAGGCCACATTTGAACTCAGGTCCTCCTGACTTCAGGGCTCATACTGTATGCACTGCACCACCTAACTGCCCCTGGGCCTTCTCTTTAAGC